CCCCCCCCCCCCCCCCCACACACACACACACACACATTCAAACTGGCTCTATCTCTCCAGGACAAACAACTATGAGATGTAGCATTTTGTGCCTGTGGAATGCTATACAAGTTGTATTTTTGCATGTGTGAATTTCATTGCACATCTAAATAGGCTAATCAGTAACTCTAAATTGTTTCTGGGTGCGAGTGTGAATAGCTGTTTGTCTCGTTTGTCTCTATGTGTCCCTGTGATGGACTTGCGACCTGTCCAGGGTGTCCCCCATCTCTCACACAGTGACTGCTGGACATTAGCCCCCACGACCCAAAAAGGAAAAAGTGGGTAAAGATAATGGATGGATGGATGAATGGACGGAAGGATCTTGATACAGTATGTGTTTTATAGCCTTTCTAATGTGCTGATGGAATAATCTTAAAACACTGTGTTTATTCTTGTATCTTACATGCCTCTAGCAGTTCTGACCTCCCCAGCACAAACACACACAAACACCCCCACCCCCCACACACAAACACCCACCCACACACACACTGCTGACACATTACCTTTTTTTTTTCCTAGCCACATCGATTACTGTCAACCAATACCTGAACTCTCTTCTGTCTGCATCATCAGGTTTCAGGAAGTGATGATAAATGAATAGCTCTATCTGCCAAGACTGCTGGCTGTGAGTACAGAATTCCAAAATCAAGATGTTTCCTGACTACTACCACTTTACTTAAAAAAAAAAAAAAAAAAAACTGTATTAAAAATATACTGACAATTACAAAGCTGCACATACAAATTCAATAAACTGGACAAACCATTTTATGTTTGCTGAAAAAATAAAATTGCAGAATCTACTGAGGTACACACATGTTCTACAATTCCTTCCATCCATCCATCCATCCATGCATCCATCCATGCGTCCATCCATCATCTTTACTTGCTTCATCCTTTTCGGGTCACAGTGGTCACTGGTTCCCATATCCAGCAGTCACTGTGCGAGAAGCGGGGGGCACCTTGGACAGATCTCCAGTTCATCACAGGGACACAGAGAAAATAAAAGACAAACAACCATTCACTCTCTCACTCACTCTCACCTAGGGACAACCAGTCAGCTTAACATGCATGATTTTGGTCTGTGTGTGTGTGTGGGGGGGGGGGGGGGGGGACACGCATGTACAGAGAGAACATGCAAACTACACCAAGAATGGTCCCCGGTTGGGATTTGATCCAGAGGTCTTCTCAGTGAGAGGCAACAGCTCTACCAACTGAGCCACTGTGCCGCCCCTATAATAATAATAATAATAATAATAACAATAATAACAATAATAATAATAATAATAATAATAATAATAATAATAATAATAATAATAAGTGTAAATAGCAATAAAAGGACTAAGATTAACATATTTAAATGCACAAATTGTGTTACAATTTCCATTTCTAGCTGATAATACGTTGAGCTGGATTACCACGCTTAACATGGTCATAAATCTAGAAAAAGTTTCCACTTTGAAATAATTTGAAGGAAATCTCTCCTCCAAGCCAAGGCACATACTTTTGAATATACATACTATTTTGCATAATGGAAACAACACAAGATAGGCTGCATCAGAAAACATCTTTATGAAGCCGGGAGCTGTCCATCAAAAAGGTTTACTTCCTCACTTTTACGACAGGTACAGAAATAAGGTAGATGGATGTGTGTGTGTGTGTGTGTGAGTGAAAATATCTGCACTGGTAGCTCTATTCCAGAGTTAGTGAGCTGTGACTGACATTATAAAAGTACGGGAGAAGGAAGCTGTGTGTTTGTGTGCGTCAATGGACACTTCAGTATACAAGCACTCACTCATACTGAAGCTTAAAGTGAGCACAAACAGTTCTCTCTTTTCTGTTTGCCTGTCTCCATCTCCATTGTTCTATACAACGCACACAGACACACGGTGGCCTAAGGCGAGACAACCACGATTTGACAAGAAAGGGTAGAAAAAGAAAAATATGAAACATCAGCAAGATTGTGTTACACTATCAAAGTGGAGCAACAAGAGGAGGAAAAGGGCAGAAAATGTGGTTTAAATAGTCAGTTTAAAATAAATAAATAAATAAATAATGTGAATATTTATGTTTCCACAACCAGTTTCTGACATCTAAGTGTGACATAAGTGTGCCACTTTTGTTCACTGATGCTGTCATCTAGTTTGGACATTTCCACATACTGTATGTCCCTACACATAGTTGTGGCAAAGATTCAGTTCAATGTTGTTAAAAGTAATTTTATTTTTACAGTAGTCCCTCGCTACTTTACAGTTCGACTTTCGCGGACTTGCTCTATCGCGGTTTGTCAACACACATTAACATAATTATTTTTTTTTTACAGAACACATGATTGTCAATTTTAATATTACTCACACAAATGGGACAGTACTGGATACAGTATAGTAAAAAGTTAATAAAACGCAAAATACGTCAGACAGGCGCCACCATTTTGTAGTTTTCTTTCATTAAGCCGCCTCTGCATTCCTGCTCACAATGAATACATTTCCCAGAAGCCAACAGGGCCCCGCCCAGAAGCCCCGTTTCTTTCTGCTGAAATACTAAAGGGAACGTTTTGATTTGATTGGAAAAAGTTTAGTGCTTATTACAGTGATTTCGATGCCGAGTGGCTACAGAGAGCCGCACGGAACCCACCGAACCGGAGCACAACCAGAGCAGAACCAGATCTCCAGACCCAATGGTGAATCTTGAGAGCTGATAGCCAGCCCACGAGGACTTCTGAGCAGGGACGCGCACCGCCGAATGTCCGAAGCATCATCTGGAGCTCACTGGGACTTCGATGGCGTGTAACACACTCAGAAGTCCTCGTGGGCTGGCTACCAGACCTCCAGACCCATCGGTGAATATTGAGAGCTGGTAGCCAGCCAACGAGGACTTCTGAGCGGGGATGCACCGCCGTAGGTCCGGCACTCCATCCGGAGTCCACCGAGACTTTTTTCATGTCTCGGGGCGGACTGGAATCGAGCCGCTCCTGTTCTGCAGAGCCTGGTACGTAAAATTCAGTAGCTATATATCCAGTACTGTAAGTATGTTGTTAAAATGACATAGGTTTAAGAGTTTGGAACATTTTAAGAGTGTGGGAAGGGTTTCTAAAGCCTTAAAATATTTATACATACTAAAATAAATATAACGTTGCTACTTGCAGTGGGTGGGGTGGGGGTGTTGGACCTAACACCTGCAATAAACGAGGGACTACAGTATAGCAAAAAATCACAACAAAATCATCACAGGGTACTAAACAAATAAGCTAACAGGTCCAATTCAAATTAATTTATGTGCAGTCCAATTCTTTTTAACTTATTTTAATTCATTCTAATGCAATTTAATTACGTAATTTCAATACAGTAAGATGTGCAGTCTTCCATAAGACTGTGTAGCATTCCTCAGTCCAGTTATAAACCATATAAAATAATATCTAAGCAATGAGCAAGCCAGAACCCATATGTGCAGGTTTCCCAACAAAAGCTACAAGGTTTGTGTGCTTTTAAAAAGACTAAAGTACTTTCTAGACTTTACGTAAATGGATGAAAGTATTGAGCCCTACCTGTCATTAGCAGGTGCTGGAGCAGGAGATGTAGTTCCAGCTCCCCTCGGTTTGTTCACTTTGGCATACAGCCTATCGAGAGGGTCATCATCTGGCATGACTCCAGGCTCATTAACATGCTTTCCGTGTCCTGCAAAGCCAGAGGGACCTAGTGGTGAAGGTGTGCGGCCATGAGCATGCTGAATAGTGCTGTAGAGAGGAGGCTGAGGCAGTGGCTGCTGCACTGGACTAATCTCCTGGGCCCTGAAGGTCTGAATTTGGGCATAGTTGGGGTCTGCATCGTCATCCTCAAAGACTGGGTATGCTGATCCACCACTAGCAACCTGCAAATCCCTGGGCTGTTGCTCATGCAGCTCAGGATGCCCTGCTTCAATCCTAAAAGAAAAACAAAGGACCAGTACGGCTCCAAGTTGGTCTTTTCTAAACAATTTTAAATAAGCATTAACGAGAATTGACCTTTAATGTAAACATTTAAAAATACATAAAATGTCCCACTGAGAAAGACAAAAATAAAAAAAATAAAACAGATTATGGAAGCCATGAAAAAAAAGGCTATAGAAAATACTAACTAACTAAATAAATAAAATCTATTAATCTCTTATTTTAAGTTCCCACCTCTCTCTTTCATCTTTCATCCTCTCCAGCTCGAGGTCACTCAGAATGTCTGACTTTTGTCGTTGCAGAGCTGCCTTTGCCTCCTTCTTCTCCTCTTTTTTCTTTCCAAATCTTAACAGAAAAAAGGGCACAGAAACAGAAATAATGTGGTAAAAAAATAAAGGAGAAAAACAACAAGTGCATACTGGCGTAGGTTCTTAGTCAACCAGAACATAGTAATAAATGAATGAATGAACTTAAAATTTCAGTAGTTTTTTAAAAATGTTTTAAAGAAAAAAAAAATATATATATATATTAACTATGACTTATAATATACTAAAAGTTGGTGCATATGATACTATAGAAAAAGATGGACAAGGCGTCTCACACCACATTCATAACAAACATGTAAAATATGAATATGCTAACTGAGTGACAAAAAAATACTAACACACTGTGCAGTTTAAGCTAAGGGTCTAGTCTAAGAACACAAAATGTGCATTTGCATCAGTTATGACAGCTGCTCCAACATTTTCCTTTCAGATGTAAGAAAAAAAAACAAAAAAACAAATGCTTCCACAGAGATACAGATTTACAACATGACAAACTCTGAGGTGCATGGAGTGAGACAAATACAGGCAATCCATCAAATTAAACAGAGGAACAGTAAATGCTCAACAAGAAGGCTCCCTGTAGCCTAAATTAATAGAAGACATATACATAAAAGACTAAAAGGAATATTTCAAGTGCCCACATAAAAACAATCAAACCACAACAGTCAATACTGTTAGTGTTCAGGCAGCATCAGCAGCAGTACTGAAAGTATTACCAGAACATCCACGTATAAAGTACACATATCTACAGTCAGTACTGATCAATGTGCTGCCATCAGTAAATTATTTTTCTTATAAAACGATTTATTGTAAAATTTTACATATCATAACTTTGTGCAACTATTTTAAACCCTTGGTCGACAGCTTCCATGCTCTACCTTAGTGGTTCTCAAACTGGGGTCACCGGACCCCCAGGGTTCCACGGGCCGGTGCTTGGGGTCCACAAAAAATTAATAATAAAAAAAAAAAAATATATATATATATA